GCTGAAGGCAGTGGGAGTTCTGTCAGTGATTGAGCATACATACCTTGAGCATAAATATGTATTTGGTTCCTAGGGAAGTTTCTGTCTGTGGCTCACCCCAGCTTTGAAAAGGTTAAGAGTGGCTGTTGCTAATACTGAAGTCTGTTGAGTCATTTGACTGGCGCTGAGGAAGCTACCCTGTGTCTTTGACCCTTCATGGCTCTCGTGCAATGTATAGGGTTAACAACAAAATCCTTCTTTCCTTAGCCTTAATTGGGCTGGATCTCACACACCTTGGAGCCTGGCATTCCCAGCCCTCACTGCCCAGTCAACTGGATTACTTCCCAGGGCTTTGGAGAGCATTGTCAGTATGTACTGTTCTCTCTCGATGGTGGTGATTATTTATGACTGATATGGGTGCTGGTATTGGAGTGAAGAAGGTCTTGAGAGCTACATTTCTGAGGGGCATTATGGTTATGGTTAGCATGTTGCCTTGTGTGATCAGCTTTGCCAATGCCTTACTATGGGCTGGTGCAAACTCTCCTTATGTCCACAGGGATCTCCAGGAACTTCTTTGGATTTGGAGCTGGGCTCTGTAATTGTGTCACCTCATAGATAAAATACCTTTTGCCTAGCTTGTAAAGCGTGCTGAGATCTTCAGCTACGGGTCTGTGCTAAGTACTATTATAGGTGCTATAGTGGGAGTCACTGGGAATTGCTGCTATAGGAGGTTGGTGAGTGAGCAGTGTGTCACCGTTAATGGCAAGCTTGTATTGGGGTTTGTTGTGGGATTAGTAATATGCCAAAGGGGCTGCAAGAGAGTCTCTGATTAGACCAGGTCAGAGTTGCTTTCTGAGAACCTGGCATGGGTGTTGGGACTGATATTCCTGAAAGGCAGGATTGACTGCAGGCTGTTTGCCTACACTTCCAGGACAAGTGTAGATGTGTAAATAAAATGAGTTACACCAAGTAAATACCCAGGCTCCAAGTCCCTGTTTTGCCCTCCAGTGGAAAGTAGGGTAGATTTGCACCTTAGACTAAATGAGAAGTGCATGTAGCACAAATGAGCTGGAGCTCACTTCATCAGAAGCTCATGAAAGCTTGTACTATCTGTATCTCTAATTTACTGTAGTTAGCCTATAAGGTGCAAACCTAATTTGCCTTTTGCTTGACTTCAGATTAGTATGGCTAATGACATGCCCCTCTAATGGAAAACTAGCCTGCAATCCCCTGCTACTGCTTGCTGGAGGGACAGCCATGTGATCGTTTTATACCGTGGAGAATAGGAGCATCCCTGTGTGTGTCAATACTGGCTGCTGACATCCTGCACTCAAGAACAGGGTGGGGACGGGGTGAGCGGCGCCTAGAGTCATTGTTTACTTCTCAAAGTAACCACTGTCGACGCATGATGCAGCTGCATGGTGGCATTGCTTCAGCCTCAGTAATGCCCCTGGCATGAATTCTGGTATGTACGGGGCACACGCTGAGACAAAGCAATGCCAGCTAAATCGCTGCTGGGAGCAGACAGATAATAGCGCTGAAGTAATGCCTTGCTTATGCACAAATCCTACAGCTGCATGAGTCTGTTATACCAGCACCCCCAGAAGAACGATGATTTGGGCTCTTGTACCTTGCAATGCTAAGAAGCAGAGCAGCTATGTCAGACAGAAGCTGTCGCATACAATGGGCCTGACCCCAGACCACAGTTAAAGTCAATAATGAATAAGTGACCCTTGTCCTTGTGTTTTGAACAATGCTGTGAGGTTAAAGTACCTGGATTATTAAGAGTGAAGGAATGTAACACATTCAAGTGCGTCTCTTGCATGTTAGGTTCATTGTTTACTCGCTGCATTTCTCTTACTTTGGTTCATGACAACCCGGGAAGTCAGCTTCACCTATTTGTGCCCTGTTTTACTGTCAGCACCTTGGTGCTGCAATGTTCTGGGGCTGTTGAAAAGTAATGGTCTTTAGTGGCATCTCTAAAACATTGAGCCAACTTCTGTTTTGGTCTCAGACTTTACGAACGCTCGATTTTTACATAAATATTCGTTGTTGTTATTACTAAAAATATTTGCCAAGTGTTGATTGCCCCTTGAAACATAAGCCCATTAAAAATTTGGGTCAAAAACCTCAAATGAAGGTAAGTGAATTACAGACATTAAGCTTTTAAAATGAATTGCTTTGTTCTCCATGCTAAGCCATATACGGTTCACATAACGAATTACAGTTCACTGCCATGTGTCATGCTTAACCACGTCTTTCATAAGCTGAAATCTAGAGAAGTATCAGAACCGTCTGCTTATTGTAGTGATGTTTCATAGATGACACAGCTAAGAATTGCGGCTTCACATTTCACTGTGCTCCAGCTCTGAATTATTTAAATAGGGATGCAGGGAAATCAATGGGCTGTTGAGACTTGCGGGTATCCAGAGGGTTCCTCCAGGGGTTTGGATATCATGCTGTCTGCAGGCACCTGCGTCTCCGTCCTGTGTGCATGACTCTGTTCTTATATTTCAGGAAAGAAAAAATCCAAATTTCAGACGTTCAAAAACTTCTTTGCCAAGAAGAAAAGGAAGGAGCCTCCTGCTCCCAGGGGGGAAAGTAATTTGAAACCGAGCCAGTCCAGCAGCGATGTCAGCATCTCTGCGCTAGACACCGCTGCCCTTCACTCCCCAGCTGAGGCCGGGTAAGCCTGCAGAGCGAATCCAAATAGCCAGGTTGTACAGCCATCATGCAGCAGTAGAAGGAAAGCCAGAGCTGGCCCCTAAGGAGCAACCCCTGGCCAAGTCTGTGCAAAACAAGTCCTAGAGCTGACGAAGGAATTCCAGGAATTTCCTCTTTCCTCTGCAGCGTGCTTGAGAAGTCAGCACAGGGGGAAAATAGTCCAACTGTTCCAGCCTACAGCACTCCAGCTAGCCTAGATTTGATGCCTGCTATTTGAAAGCCACCCTGGCAGCGGGGACTTTAGAAGCAGCAAATGACTCAGGGCTGCGGAGACAGGGAATGGTCATGAAAGCGAGCGGCTGTTTCTTGCCATAAACAGGGCTTGTGTGAAATACCCTGTTTCATGACTGGGGCAAAGGAGGAGAGAATAGCCGCAGAGTCCTTGGGTTCATTCCTTATGGAGGTAGTTAGCCATGTTAGTCTGAAGTCAATCAGAAGGCAAAATAGAGCTACACCTTTATTGACTAACTCAATAACGATATACATATGAGCACGGGCTTTTGTGAGCCCAAGTTCACTTCACCAGCATGTGATAAAGTGAACTTGAGTTCACAAAAGCTTGTGCTCACTCTCGCTCTCTAGATAGATATCTTATGTAGTTGGTCTATAAAGGTGTGTATCTACGCTGCTTTCTGATTAATTCCTACAACCCGGCTAGGGCTGGGGCTGTGCCATTGGTGATGGTTTTATTTTTTTCTTTTTAAAGGCATCTCCTTTTGTTTCAGCAACCACATCCTGCAATGTGGTGGAGAAATCACGGCTGTTTGCCGGCTGCATTGAATCCATGAGGGGGGTAGGGAGCCCTCTGAATACGTTGTGCCCCTACCCCATGGGCTTACTATTATTTCTGAATTGGGGAGGTGTGCACAAATTCATTCCAGATGCCTGTTGCCCTCCAGGGAGCAGGCTGCCCCACTCTCAGCTGGGGGTGCACTTTTCACAGCCAGCAAGGAAGGTTACGGTTTCCTTTAGAAAAGCACAGCGTAGGTTAAACCTGGAACAGCAAGAAGCCCGTGCCCTTTTGTGAAAACAGCCAGGCAGCTCAGTACTAAATCAGAAAGCTGCTGAAATAATCCACGTCACTGTTTTCTGAATCATAATGGAATACACGAGTTAAACATGTCTCTGTTAAGGGGACAGATAAGTGGGGTGTGTGTGTGTACACCACATACTGAACTGTAGGAGAGGTAGGGGGCCTCGATAACATTGCCCTGGTGGAGTCGCTATAGAGTCCTTTGGGTCCAGAGGCAATTACAGCAATTCAGCTAATCAGTTGTCCCTTCCTAGCTGGTGCCTAGGGTGGAAATGGCATTGATTTGTAAGAATAGGCTGCCCTCTTCAAATGTACTAATCCATTACATCCTACCCACTTGCTCATTATCCCAGCCCCGTCCTTCAGAGAGCAGAAACTGAAATGATGATTATTATGATTATTGAAAAACTAGAGGTGGGCAAAACCTCTCCGAGTTGGTTAGAAATGAGATGCCCTTGTCTGTCAGAACTGTCAAGGGCACATGGGCGCTGCTCATGCCCAGATCCCACCCTGAGCATGGACCTTATAGATACAGAGAGCATCTGAAGAGGTGAAAACTTGGTGAGGCCTGATCCTGAAGATGTGCAGGCAGCGGGAGTTCTGGGTGCAGCAGGCTTGTGCTGAGCTTTGTGAGGCATGTCTGATACCAGAGCAGCCTTGTAACATTGGCAGCAAATACTGGTGTTTCCTCATTTTGCTTTTAAATCTTTTAGGTACAAAATGTAATTTAAAAATGATCGATTATGGCCCAAACCTCTGAGTTGTTGAGTGCTTTCCTCCAAAGCCAGAGAAACAGTAAGCAGGGGCCAAGGAGCAGAGTTTCCACATCAGTCCAGCTCTCCAGGGGCTGAGATGATCAGGAGGGCTGGGCGGTTGTGGAGGATCCTACCTCACTGCCCCTTGGTCCTGTATACATGGATGAAGGTAGGGATCCCTCCTGAGTGGATGAACACAAAAGAAACTCTCTGAGGTGGTTTGCGTTGAATCTCCACACCTATATGTGGGTAAAACTAACACATAGGACAGGGGTGGCCAGAGTTACTCACCCTGGGAGCCACATCCGATCCTTCACCCAGGGTGGAAAGCAAGGTTGGGGGGGAGCGACCCAGAGTCGAGGTAACCACCTCCCCTCCTGCACCACTGAGCTGCTCTGGCTTTCCCTGTGGGGAGCATGCCCCAGGGTAAGCGGAGTGGCTGCAGCCCCCACCCCCGGCAGCCTGGTGTCCCCCGGAGCCACCTCGGGGGAGAGATGTGCGGGGCTTTGGCTGAGAAGCCCCGGAGAGCTGCAAGCACTGTGCTGGCGAGCCGCAGTTTGGCCATCGCGGACATAGGAGCATCTGTTTCTATATCATCTTGTGCCAAATGCAGTGCATTGGGCTCTTAATGTGTTGAATGGTGGTTTAAACCTGCATAACGCTTCCTCCTTCTCTTGGATGATGGTGGATGGATGCTGTGCTGAAAGCAGCAGGTCTGGGGGGTGGTTTGAAGGAAGACAGGGCGGCACAGGAGGAGGGGGGACAGAGCAGCTAGAGCTAGAGATTGAAGGCAATGGGACGGAAAGTCAGTGCAGCCCAGGGGCATTTGAGAGTGTGGCTGGTTGCTAGGTTTGGGTCTGGGGCTCTACATTCCTCTTCATGCTGCTTTAAGAAAGAGCAGCCTGTGGTGAGTGAATGTGGCTGAACGATTTGTTTGTGTAGGGTAGCCAGGGTAGAAGTCTAAGGTGTAGGGAAGCCAGGGTAGAAGTGTAATGGCTAAAACATCTGCCTTCTCTTTTCTGGCTAACAAGGAAGCTTTAGTTTGCAAGCCAATATAAATAGACTGCCCAGGAGGACACTGTGCATGCGCGCGTGTACACACACACACACACACACACACACACACACACACACACACACACACACACACACACACACACCCCCCCTCTTACAGGACAGCTTGCACTTGCCTCCACTAGGGCTGCAGTGGATCCCAGAGTCCCTGGTAGGCTCTGTGTGTCATGGGCAAAAGAACAACGTGGTTTTTTCCCACCCCCCCCAACCCAAAATTGGTGCTGGCAACAGCTCAAAGAGATATCAGCTCCTCTGTCAGCCTCATCCCAAATATGCACTGTAAGGACAGTCCCAGGCTCAGAGAGGTCTGTGTACACCCAGCCTAGAGTCATTTCTGGGCAACAGATGAAAATGGGAAATGCACAAAAAAGTGAGCAGCAGCATTTTGCTATATTGATTAAGAATCTAACTGTGCCCGTCTTTCTAAGCAAAGTCATTTCAGTGGGACCTTGCCTGTATGTAGAGCCTGTCACCCTGGGAAGCACTTCTCTAAAAGATAACACGCACAATCAGAAACTGGGGTTTACCCTTAGCGTGAACCTGTGCAAGTGCTTATCAGTGTGTGGTAATAGCAGTGGTAAAGGCAGGCATTAACTGCTACAACACCGGGAAGAGCATGAGCTCTGGCCTCCGCTTGTAGCATAAGAGCTCAGATTAGTTTGGACAGGACGGGGAACATGCATCAAACATATGGGACTCCACTGAAACACGGGCGATAGGAAAGGTGAAGTAAAGTAGGCCTTGCAGATGTCAGTCCCCAGCGCTGGGGAAAAGAAGACACTTCCTCTATTTGGCAGGAAGACACAGGGGCTTTCTTTATGGTGTGTCTTTCTTTAAGAAGGCACACTCTCTGCCAGAGCTTGCTTCCAAAGTGAAGAGGGAATTCTAGGTTCAGAGCCCAGCGGCAGGGAGACCCGGTCCATCTGGACTCCCTGCAGGAGGCACGCGCTGGGGCTGAGAGTGGAGTCTCCCTGACAGCTCTGCAGTGAGGGCTTGCCTGTCTTCACTTCCAGTTACTCTGAGGCAAGCTGTTCAATGCAGCTTGCGTCACCTCAAAGGCAGCGTGTCCAAGGCCTGGGTTACAGGTCTGGCAGCCGAGGACAGGAAAGAGTTGTTCGTTGTTTCCTGGTGAAATGCTGATGTGAAACTTGAGTGCAGCCCACAACTGTTGTTCTGTAGGCATGGAGTATGCAGGTGCCCTGCAACCATAACCCGCTCGGGGGAGTGGGCCAGCTGGATCAGTCATGCTGGGCTGAATGCACTTGAGCTTCTCTGAGCATAGGAGCTCCTAGGCTTGACTGGCTTTTCAATGGGAGACCGCTGGTGCCAAGGGGTCATGGTGCAGTGTTAGTCTTGGGCCCCATTGTCACTGCTGAGCTGCCCAGCTGGAGGAGGCACCGTAGCATGCACCTCCTTACCCTGGCAAAAAACCAGTTGTGTGTGCAACCAAGCCAAGTCTGTTGTAACTGGTGCCACAACTGAGCTACCACTTAGACACGGGTCCTGGCTATGCACTGAAATGTGCCTGGGAGACCATTGTGTCCCAGCAGTTCCAGTCTGTTTAGGTGGACTGCAGAAACTCTCTGTACCTCAGCATGTGCTGAGGCATGAACAACGCTCCTTCATGCTGTGGGACTTTTTCCCTATTCGCCACTGGCAAGAAAAAAAAAGTCTCAGGGCTGGTCTCTTCTACATCTGGCTGCATAGGCCCCGTAGGCCCCCCTCTAGCCACCAAGGACAGCTGGCACATAGCAAAGGGCTGCAAGGGGGTGGTGAGGAGCTGCTCTGCTGGTTTTGTGCCTCAGGGATTCCCCACGGTCCAGAGAAGTGGCTGGTATCCCTCTACATGAGGAAGTGACACATGGGAGCCTTGCTGGTGGGGAGAAGTGGGCTAGGAGAGCATCTAGCAGCTAGTGAAGGGAAGGGCTTTTGAATTCAGTAACTGGCATCAGCGTGGATGGATTTTCTCTAACAATAATGAAGGATGGAAATTTTTCTCAATCAAGGTCTCTGGACAGTGCTGGCAAATGCTGAGGGGCGGGGGGAACTAATGGTAGAAAAGGGCAGTAAGAAGGGAGAGGAGGTTATAAAAGAGTATTTTACTTGTGCCACCCCTGGCTGGCTGCAGGGCAAGGCTCAAGGTGGGAGTCTAGGTGTTTTTACAGTATTTATTATGCAGGTTATGGTAGTGTAGATCAAGCTAGGGTGTTATGCCTGGTGCCGTATAAACACTTAGCAAGGTTGTGCCTGCCCCCGAAGTGTACAATCAACACAGAGGAGGCGCACAAAAGATGGGAGGGGAGGCGGAGGCAGAGAGAGGGACTTGCCCAAGGTCCCGCAGTAGGTCAGTGGCAGCTCTGGGAACAGAGCCAAGATGTCCCGAGTCCCAGTCAAATGCTGTCTTCCCTAGGCAACCACATTCATGTGTCTGACAGCAGAAGGCTAAGACCTTTCTGGGGGTGGTTGTGAGTTGCTTACAGACCTTTCTTGCCTTCCAGATCCAAAGGAAGCCTGGGAAACAAAGCCCTGTCCCATGACAGTGTCTTCATTTTTGAATCGGCACCAGAAAATGCAGCTGGTGATGCATCGTCTCAGGAGAACATCCCCGGAAGAGTGAAGACCTTGCAGGTAAGCAAGTGTCTCGTGTTTATGGGGCTGGGGGCTGCTCTACATGCCAGCTGCCAGGCTGAAAAGGCTCTGTTTGGATCCTGTACCCAACCACTTCCTTCTGGTGTGCAGCAGAGTTTGAAACTGGTTTTGGAGTGCACGCAATATGCGTGGCCTTGCTGAGGTAACACTGCTTCCCTTTTCCTGCCCCAAATTGTTTACCACCTAGATGTTCCCCCTGATGAGGCACATCCACTTCTGAGGGGCTTTCCATTCTGTACTTCCTTGCTTCACCTTTTGGACTAAAGTCATTTGTTTTCATGGATTTGTGTCAGTCTCTTGGCGGCAGTTCTGTCCTGAAGTATGCCTTCTCCATTGTCCAGTGGCAATGACTGCTCTGGGCAGTCAGGGTGATGGATGGGTCGGAGCATTGCTAAAGACAGCTGTATTTATAGCCTTGTTCTCTTATCGCTGTCAGCTGAGGAGACATTCTGCTAGGTCACTTCCTTCTTCCAAGGCACATGCTGAACCCTCCTTGACAACCTCCTTATCAATCCCTTGGTCATGGTTATTGCACTCGGACAGCTGCCTGACTTCCAACACAGAGATAAAAATTTAAGGTTATTCCTGGGACAGAAACAAACTGTTGATAATATGTCCCAAGGCCATGGAGAGGCTTCAGAGCAACCCCCTGCTGCAAAACAAGGTTGCATCACATGGTAACTAATGGAAGATGCGCAGAAGGACTTCTGGCTCCACAGAAACACAGCTGAGGCCAAGTTTCAGTCCAGGATATTGCTTGTAAAACAATGGGAGCAGCAGGGGAAGGGCAGTACGTTTTCATATAACAGGCCTTGTTCAGGAAAAAGCACCTTTCCATTTTGTGTAATGGGACTCTGCTCTCTGCAGCCCCTTGAATGCTCTCCTTCTGCCATGCACTGTGCTTCACCATGGCAGAGCGCTGCCAGGGATAGATTCTACCCAAAAAGAGAGCACATTTCCTTTAGCTGAATGCTTATTTGGATCAAAAATCTGCACATCAGCAGATCCCGATATTGTCTTAGCTAGTGGATCATCTAGTTCTGCCAGTGCAAGAGAAGACTGCAGTTTCTCTCTTCTGTAACATTTTTCCCATTGCTTTCCATCAGTTACATTCATAAAAGTGGGGCAATTGCAGAATCTACTCACACTTCTTTACTTTGAGGTGGCGCACGTGGGTTACAGATCTCATTTGCTGGCTACATATATGTAGTTCTTTGGGCATGGACAGATGATCACTTATTCTGGAGTATTTTACACTGGTCTGTGTACAAGTGGAAGTTACTCAGGCACTGACAGATGAGGAGCTGTCCCTGGGTAGCAGCATGGAGGATGTAGCTCTCAAGTAAGCAATAGTCTGCTTACCTTTAGTAAATGACTGTCCTGGAATGGAAGTGGACAGACAACACCTAAACCAGTGTATCTTCCAATGGGAGTGTTTGACTTCTGATTCTTTCAGGGTAATTTGACTGGGAGGCATAACTCCTGGTTAGAGCTCATATCATTTGTCCACTCATTTTTTTTACACCTGTGTAAGTGTGTGGGCTGTCCATGCCCTTTGAACAGTGTGTCCTGTGTCTAGCATTTGCGTTACTTTTATTTCTCCAGTTGGTTTAGGGAACATGTGCATTGTGCTGGGCAAATGGAAGCTGTCTGAGGTTAGAGGACTTGGACCTGACTCTGCCCTGCTCCTTGGGTAGTCGCATATCCCCATAGATGCAAAGCGGGGTAAAATGACAGCATTCTGAAACCGGAGGTGACTCCATGGGCTGGGTGCGGCCCTCAGGGCTTCCCACAGCAAGGAGGGAATGCAGAAGAGTGGGAGCCTTAATTTCCACAGCTCCTGTATCCTTAATTGCCATCACTTTTCCTGCCACCAAATTTCCAGACCTGTGGGGAACACTGCAGGCCAGATAATGGGGCAGTGTACCAGATTAGGACCACAGATTGGTCCTACACATTGGATTTAGCTCATGCAGGGCTAGATGAATTGGGCATCCCTGTTCTAAATGCATTATGCAGAGGAATGAATGGCTGCTAGGACTGCAGAGAATCAGGCATTTGAGGCTTACAAATTCCAGCTCTGGTCTAGTAAGCAAAAGACCATAAAAGCAGGCCCACCTATCTGCCAGGCAGCCTCAGATGAGCCACTTCTGGTTGAGAGGCAAAAATTGTCTTCAGACCTTGTCTGTACTACAGCCTTGACATAGCTGGCTCAGGCCGTGAGCTTCAGAACCGGTGTTTCCTGAGATTGACTTTTGTTTAAGAAGGAACATCTGGCTGCTTGTGGGGTTGCAGACTTTGTTTTATTTTTCTAGGATCACAGTCTGCCAGAGCAGTTTTTTTTATGCATTCTTGCAAAACTTTTCCCATACTCCCTGATAAACATATGTGACTCCTGTCCACATGATTCCTCCCTCTATACTCAGGCTTGGCCAGTGGTACTGGAAGAGAGCGAACAAGGTGATTCTTTGGGAGGCACCAACTTAATTTTCTCTCTTTGTATGAAATACACATGCCAGAAGGATCCTTCAGATCATCACCTGCTTCTTCACGCAGAGGCAGAGCCCAGACACTTTTGCTAAGGGTCTGTGAAGAGTTGTCAGTGGTTAGAAGAGTTTTGCAAAGGACAGTTGTCCAAATAAATTATGGTTTTTGGGAGCCACCAAGCCCCAGCCTCTGGAGGGCTGTGCGAGCATCCTGGTAAATGTTACCACAAATCAGTCTTTACCTGCGCTACCTAATCAAGCATCCAAGGAAGACAGGCATCTGTTAGGAAGAGAGATTAAGTGATTTGACTAAGGTCACCAAATTAATCTGGGGTGATGAGATATCTGCAAAAAGTAAATTGTTTTTAAATCTTTCGAACAGCAGTCAGCTCTCAGGAGCCCTTGAGGAATGTAACTAAATCAAATTGGGCTAGTTACTAATTTCTCTGGATGCTCTTTTGGGAAGGTTTCAAAAAACGTCTGCCTGATAACTGGGTAGATCTGTTCTTAATGAAGATTTCTCCCTAAGAGATAAAGCCATTTAAATACTTTGTTCTTCACTTCCCTTTGCCCCCCCAGCTCCAGTTACAACAGAACATCAGACTTGGATCTCCTCCTCTTGTTATAACCAGCAGGAAAGTGGAAGACCCAGGTGCTGTTTCAGAAGATGACGGATTACCTAGAAGCCCTCCAGAAATTTCCACTCTTCACGAAGTTCTAACGGGTTCGCCAAGCAAGGTATGTACTTCATGCCATGAAAGGGCTTGAGGTTTAAAGTGAATTGTATAGAGTAAAGGTTGGTTGGACAGTTATTTTTTTTTCTTTAAATCTGCAGTCAATATAAGTGTTTTGTCATCAGTTATTACATTTACCTCCTTACCATCTTTTATTTGCTAAACCCTCAGCTCTGAAGCAATGGACAGAATGGTTTCCTTCTTTTAAACCTAATTCCAAAACTGGAAACAAGCAAAACCAAAAAAGCGCTCCTATTGATTTGCTGCCCAGTTTGCAAATAAATGTAAGAGGTTGTTAAAGATAAAATTGTTTGCAGAAGTTCAGCTTGTATTGGAAGAGTAAAAGATAAATGTCTAGAAAGATCAAACCTACTGCACTTGAAATCTGAAGTGGATAAGGCTGGAGCACAGAATGATGATATTTAACTGATGTTCCTTCTAGCATTGTTGGTCTATGATGCTTTTGCTTCTGCACCTCACGGAAGACCCATCACTGAATTTCAGGCAGGAATACTCAGAGTATAGGTTTCTATAATCACTGAATGCATAAAGGCTGCACTGCTGCCTTTAGCTTTTGTGTGCAACTAGAAAAATTGTATAATAACTAGCTTCATCTATGGATAAACTGGTGTGAGAGATACCTGGGGGTGTGTTCTGTAACCATACGTCAATCCCGGCCCAACTCAGTGTAGTCCTAGAAAAGATGCTATTTGTCTAGAAAAAATTCCAGATGCAACTTAAAATATTAGAGACTACAGGTTTAAAAACCATGCCTTTCACTATCAAGTTCTGGTAATAGCCTTCTATGTTTATGGACATGCAGAGATGGGCAAAAAGTCTTCAGGAATCACCAACCATATTGTAATAGAGCCTAGAAACAAGGAAGAAAAAAGTGTGTCCTGGTCTCATCTCTTACTGAGTTACTTAAAGCTGCAAGGATCAGTAAAGAACAAAGAGCGCTTTGAGTAACACTGCAATTCACTCACTAGAATGAAAGGTAAAATACTTGTAGGTAAGACTAACACAGCTGGCAGATTTATATCAAGTAGTCCTATAGACAACAGTGTCCTGACTTTGACTCTAAGGTCAGTTAGGATTAAAGGGAGGACCCAAGCAAAAAGGATTTAAACAGTAATGAAAGCAGACAGATAGCCTTTAAAACTCAGCCATTTGTCAACTCCTGCCATTATTTACATTCACCTGGGAGGAGCTAATTAATCCGAGTTTACCATGTATGGTTGTGGGGGGTGAGAACTAGCTTCATCTTTGAAAGGCTTGTTTGAAGACGAGTCAGAACATGGACGGACCATCCTAGAATGGTCCCGCAGAATCTTAGAAGAGGATCCCACAGGGTGTCTGATGAACGCAGTGAGTGAAGAAAGCCACTGTTCCTGTTCAGTTGAGCAGTGATGGATGTCAGCACAGAGACTTCCAAATGAAAGCAGCGCAGAGGGGAGATGGGAGCACTCTTCACTTGCCCGAGGTACCGTATGAAAGGCAAAGCAAACAAAGGAAGAGAAGACATGATTTAAGGAATTCAAGTAACAAGTTCATGATGCAAGACAGATAAAAACCTGTTGCCCCTGGGAGAGAACATAGTTCCAATAGTGATAGCAGGGTCACTTGAATGAAAAGAGAACCAAGTGCCTTTCGCCATCTACTGAAAGCTGAAGCTTGACAGCATTACAGTGCCTTTACCAGTCAGGATTATGGCAATGGCTTGAAGGGTGTACCTTCATGTGTCTCAAGGGTGGGGAAAAACAAGGAGCAACGCTGCATCAGAAAAGAATGAGCTGAAAAGCAGCTGTTGTCATAAAGTTTTAGCTGGAGCAACATTTGGGTAGAGTGACTTGCATGTTGATGCATGAGGAAGTAGTATTGTTCTTGGGTTCATGAAAGCCTTATTTCCTCAAGTGAAAATGTTATGAGGTTTAAAACATTTTCCTCCTAGAAGTTTATCCCTCTTGTTGAACTGGGTACTGATTGTTTTGCCGAAGGTCACCAAGGTAGCAGAAAGATGGGGCAGCGTGTATGGTGCTAATCTGGGACTCGGGAGACCTGATGAATTCAAACCCCAGCTCCACCCCAGAGGTCCCATGTGATTATGGACAAGTCAGCTTCTCTGATATGTCCACACGATGGAATACAGGCTGAAGAGCCATCTTAATGCAACTATTCATTTCTGGTGGCTTCTGAATGAAGGTATCACTGCACTGTGCTGGGTGGCCATACCCTCTTTGTGTCCATTCCCTGTCTGTAAAAGGGGGAAGACATCAGTCCCTATCCCACAAGTTTGTGGTGACAATAATAATACATTAAGGACAGTGAGTCACTCAGCAAGTTCTGTAATAGAAGCCATAAAAGTGTCTTAGAATAGATTACTACAAAATGGCACAGGAATACAGAACGGGGGAACTGAGCTGAGCCCTCCAGGGAAGCAAACATGGCTAAAGAAACTAAAACTCCAGGTGATTCAGTGTGGGCGTGGGGACTTTATTCCTTTATTCTTTGTATTAAGAACTTTCTTCCTGTATTAAAATGTTCCAGGGTGTTTCAGTGACGACTGATTTGAGTGAACAAAGCTGGTACTTCTTGTTCTGAATACTCAACAGTGGCAGAAAGTTAGGAGGCTGAGGCATGTATAGCTAGGCACTGAGCTGTTGTGCATTGCAGCCAAGTGCATCTGATTGCATGGAAGAGGCTTCAGTCCTTTGCATTGGATCAGCAATGACAAATGAATGAACAAACGAATGAGACCCTATGCAGTGGTTAGTTTTCCATGTTAACCTCTCCTGTGTCCTTCCTGTTGTATTTTCTTATGATTATCCTTTTATATTCGGTCCCTGAGAACTGTATGTGTTGCTTCCCCTGACTTATCCTTTTCCTTATTTTATCCCACAGTCCTCCAACCCCGTTCAGCGCCATAGCTCTTTGAGTTTAGGTGGAACAGACAGTGAAGATGAACAGGTAAAGAGTTGCTTTTCCTGCTACTGAAGTGTTGGAGAAAGTTTGTGTGGTACTGATACTGCTGTTCTCGTATCTGTTCTGGGTAGATGCCCAAAGGCAAACTTCAAAAGCATGGGTGGATCCAGGATTTTAAAAGGGGGAGGTATGAGAACAGTGACTGACACTGCAGGGGTGGCTGCATCCCTTTTCCAGCCTCCACATCCCAAACTGGGGCAGGGAGACCATGCATGTGGGGACTTTTTTTAAGTCCCCAAATCAGGTAAAAAAATCTCCCTTTGCTGCACCCCATCCCTTCTCCCATGTGTTCAGGAGGACCTCCCTGCTCCTCCCTGCCTCCCTTCATCTTCTTTACTTACAAAAAGGGGAGATCCACCTGTCACAGCCACTGCTGGGGCTACGGAGAGTGGCTCTGTGGGGAGCCAGGCTTAGCTGGGGACAGTGGTGACAACAGGTGGGTTCCCTCTCCCCGAGCCTGCTTAGGGGCTAGCGAGGAACACCGTAGGGAACCAGGTATAGAGGGGGAAACTGCCTGCTGTTCTTGGCTGAGCCCAGCTTCCCATGCAGCCTAGCCAGAGCGGGGCAGGAGCAGCTCTAGAGCTCCCCCCACCTTTGGGTCAGCTGGGGACAGCGAGGGTGCAAGGAGATGCTGCTTAGTGTGGAGGGGAAGGGAGGAGGTGTTGAGCGTAGGGAATTCTTACCTGCTTAAAAAAGTCCCCAGCTGCTGTTCCCACAATGTGGTCTGAAGGAGGGGTGTAGTTGGATCCACCCTTGTTCACAACCAATCCAGAGAATGATGTGTGTACACAGAAAATTTCAGGTAAAGGAGAGTGTTGGTCAACAAGCAAAGTAATTTCTGAAGTTGGCTTGCAGGTAACGGATGAGCAGAAAGAGGGGCTGCGTTCTGCATTGTCTGCGTTGGTAGCTTTGGCAGCTGTAGTCACACAATATGGACAGTAACATTAACACAACAGAGAACGTGTCAAATTAGCAGAGATAATATAATACTGAAAAACAATTTATTTACACATACACATTTATATTTATATTGATTGAAAAGAAATGTGTGCACATGCTCACATCTATGCTTACCTCTAAGGTCTAACAGTAGCTGCTGCTTAGTGAATCTTGTCTATCAGGGTGGTCGCGTATAAAGCTCTTGGCCTCTCACAAGTGCCAGGTGTTCCAGTGGAAAAGGGCTTGAGCTAAACAAAAAGGGCTTGAGCTAAACTGCAGCCTCCCTCAGGATGTCAGCGGTAGCAGGGAGAACCTGGTCATACTTGTAGCCCAGCACAACCTAGTCATGACCCAGAAGAAGCCGGGGTTACAGTCTCTATGTGAAAACCTAGAGGACTTTCACCCAGACTGTCCATGTCAGCTGGGGGAGAACAGGTTTCCATAGTCTGCAGCGTCTGTCAGACTCTCAAGGTAGGTTTGCTGTTTTAGTTAAGCAAATGGCTGGCAGATGTCAGATCATATCCTGGTGACCTCTGATCTCTAATGGCCATAGCAAAGGTGGCCACCCCTCTCTAGCTGCAGACAGCCTGCTGCTCTCTGGTCACAGCCCATGGGCATGTCCTTCCCAGGCTCATGGATGGAAAGGGGAGGGGATGTTCATGGGCTCACACCAAATGCTGCTGGGAGCACGGCTCTCCTCCACATGGGAAACTCACTGAAGAGGAGGTTTAACCCTTCAGATATCCATGAGTAAAGGGTGAGCTGCAGATTGCACACGTGTGTGCACAGCCCTTCATGGGGGGGCTAGCCATGCAGAGCAGCATCTCCAAGGCCACTCTTCTCAAACTCTCTGGAGGATGAGAGGGGCCATTCAGTGCTGCTGTCCTGCCTGCGACTGAGAGCCCATCCTGTCCTGTCTCCAGCTTTCTGGAGAGGCTGCCTCTCACTCCCTCAGACTGCAGTCTCCCACTCCCCTACTTGCTGCTGTCTCAGGAGGCTGCCCATCCAGATGGGTCACACACAGGGCTAGAAAAAACCCTTCTCCAACTGTATGTTCATTGTACAGTGAGTCTCTTTGCACATATCAAATTGTTAGTTCAGTTTTCCCTGCTGTAGTTTGAGGTATCCTTTTCTTGCACCTATTAGTCAAACTCTCCTTTCCACAATCTAGTTGCTGGTTGTTCCTTATAAAATCAGATGTCCCCATTGCCCTGACCCTACTGGCCTTAAGCTCTTTCCATCCCACTTTGCCTCATGATGTTCTGAGCAGAAAAGGGAAGGCTGAGAGCTGGGAAAGAAGAGAGAAAAGTACCTTCTCTTCCCCATTGCACAATATTCCCCTACTTACAGGCTCCTGCTGTTGTGGTTCAGTGGTAGACTCCTTACCTGCCATGCAGGACACCGAGGTTCGATTCTCAGCTGCGCATATAATGACAGCTGTTAAGGCACTGAACACATGGACTGAGTCTGGCCTTTGGATTCTGTCTTAATGGTCTAAATGAAGGATGGAAGATCTGGCCAGCTTGTAGTTCTCTGTACTCCTGCCCAGGCATATGTGTTGAAGGTCTTGGTAACCTCTCGCGCATACACCAGGATCCAGAAGGATCGACAGTTGCCTGCTACAGGCTCCTGATTTTCCTTCTCCATTTGCTTGGAAGCTGGCTGGCCTCTTTCTCCCTCCTTACAAATGCAGCATCTGTTCCTTCTCCCAAAGAAGTCTGCATTAGCTGACTTGCTTAATGGAAATGCTGCACCTATGTTTATCTGCATTTAAGAAAGTCTTTCCTTAAACCGTTGTCACCTTCGCTGTAACATTCTTAACCGTTTTAAAATAAAACTATGAAGCTGCGGAGCATACGTGTCTTAAATCAGAACTGCACTCCTCCAACAGACACCCTGAACACAATAGCTATTTTGAATCCATAGCCCTATGTTTTACCTAACAGAAGTGCTAAGAAAACTCTCACCTCATCCTGGTCCTGGGATAAGAGGGGCTAAGTGCAGTGACTTGACTAGTCCCCTTGCCTTCCTGAAAGTGTTGGTAACTTGGTTGTCTAG